GAAATGTGCCCAAGGTCTGGTTTAGGATAAATGTATTTCATTATTCTATGACCACAGTTGTTAAAAGACTGCTTTTGAGTGGTTTAAATATTAATTTTTTAATTTATTTTTTTATTGGATATTTTATCTACATTTCAGATGTTATCCCTTTACCCCATTCCCACACACACACCCAGGAACCCCCTATCCAATTGCCCCTCCTCCTGCTTCTCTGTGGATGTGCTCCTACCTACCCCACCCCCACTCCCAGCTCCCCACCCTCAAATTCTCCCACACACGATGTTCCGGTAGGATTTGCTGAAGGAGGCAGAGGCACGAGGATCATGAGTTCGAGGTCAGCCTGGGTTTAAATATTAATTATAAAATGATTCCTGATTGTTCTTGTCCTGGTTATCTAAACCTGAAAAAGTCACATTCCACCTTCCTAGATAAACAGCAATGTAGCTCATACAGTCAAATGCAGAACATAATTTGTTTCCAAGACTAGGTCTCACTCTCTCTGTAGTCCTCACTGGCCCCAAACTCATCTTCCCCCACCTGCTAGGATTACAAGCACGAACCATCACAGAACCTGATTTTCAAACAGTATTGCATGGAGAAATCCAACAAGTAACAGACAAAACTAGTATTCTCTGGCCAAAGTAAGTGGTGCCACCACCGCTATTAGGGACTTCTATCCCACAGGCATGACACAGTTGCTACCCTCCTGAAATCAGACACTGGGGTCACCCACATGAAGCTTCACAAGACCTGGCCCATTCGCATTCCCCCAAGAGGCACACTAACTGCATAAAGCCACTGCCATGCCTGAGCTCATACGACCAGTTCAGAGTTTCTTGATAGTATGGCCTCTGATGAATTCCCCATTATCCTGTAACCTCTCATCTATGCCCCAAATTAAACTCACGGTCACCAAGCTAGCTTTGGGTGGACTCTCTTCTTTGGTCTGATCCTGGTGCCCTATCTGTGGAGGGAACCACTTATCACATCTCCCCAGGAAAGGTCCATATAACACCTCCGTACATTTCACCTCAGCCCTGAGGTATGCATACATAACTTCTAAACTGTGAAACACGCAAAACACAGCTCCAAGACTTAAGTGAGATCAACTCTCTGACATAAGTGTTTTTCAGATTCATAAGATAAAAACAGACATTAAAATTAAAACTTTAACAGTAAGTGGATTTGAATAAAATTACAAATAATATTGAGGTTTTTCCATTTTTCCATAATCAACAGGAATACTGTTAGATACACATTAAACTTTAGTCACAAAGGTTCAAGTGTACTTACAGTCTTCTAAATATTGTTACAGTAATAATGGGGGTTGTTTAAGCACCCCTGTAAGTGCTGCTTGTTTGTCTGTTATGATACGGGCTCCTTCTGTAGCCCCAGTTGGCCTGGAACACACTATGAAGAGCTGGCTGTCCTCAATCTTACTACAATACTCTAGACTTAAGACTCCCAAGTGCTGGATTACAGCCATATGGCACCATGCCTGGTTTTATAACCCTGGAAGTACTTTTGAAATACATACATATATATTTATAATTCATATGTAAATAAACATAGAAATGATGTAAAGAGTAGCTAAAATAAAATAAAAGTCTGTGTATGGTGGTTCATGCCTGTAACCAACCCCCATGAGGCTGAACCAGACTTTGAGGCCGCATGTCTCAAAGGACAAACAAAAAGAGCCTCTGAGATGGCTCAGCAGGTAAAGGTGTCATCAGCAATGCCTGACAATGTGAGTCCGATCCCCGTGGATAGAAAAGAATCAGTTCCCGAGGGCCCTGCTGGGCATAGGTGGAAGAAGAGAACCTTGACCTCATGAAGACTGGACGCCCCAGGGGGTGGGAATTTTGAGGGTGGGGAGGTGGGAGTTGGGGGGTAGATAGAGGTTACATCCACAGAGAAGGAGGAGGGGTGAAGGGATTGGGGGTTCCTGGGTGGGTGGGGGATGGGGTAAGGGGACAACATATGAAATGCAAATAAAACATCCAATAAAAAAATTAAAAAAAAAAGAATCAGTTCCCAAACACTGCCCTTTGACCTCCACATACATACAAACTTTGTTCTCATCCTCCCTCCCTCCCCCATATCTCTCTCTCTCTCTCTCTCTCTCTCTCTCTCTCTCTCTCTTTCTCTCTCTCTCCCTCTTTCTCCCTCCCTCCCTCCCTCCCTTCCTCTCTGTCTCTGTCTGTCTCTTTCTCTCACACACACACAGAGAAATAAATAAAATCTTTAAAAAATAAGTTTAATAAAATAAAATTTAACACTAAATTAGAATAGCCTGTTCATACTTAAGTATTCAATATTTTACCAAGCCACATCTGCATATAAAACCACATTCTACTAATTTCTCTAGGAACCAGGAAGGGAGCTTAAGAAAAATTTTTGAGCATCCTATAAAACCTGCTACTTTTGTAGTACCCACCATTCAAGCCAAAGATAATGAGATCAGTAATGTTTCTAGACAAATAGTCAGTTAATAGAGAAATTCAAATAAACAATTTTGAAGTCAGAATAAAGGTAATATTGGTAGGATAAGGTACACAACTACATATATAGTAATATTTTTAATATATATTGATAAATTAGTTAACATTTCGATGACCTATATTCTTGACTAAATGCTATTGTTTTACGCAATTATCATAAGCACAATTTCAAACCACAGGGCTAAGAAACTAGCTGAGTCAATAATGTGCCTGCCATCCTCAGGTCCAGAGCCCTAGCTACTGTAATTCCTTACTGTTATTAATCACAATGGGTGTTTACATGGGTGCATGTATGTCGTAGTGAACGTGTGCAGGCCATAGTACTACGTTTCCTAGTTGCTTCTCTCCTTCCACCACGTGGGTCCCAGGGATTGAAATCAGGCTTTCAGGCACAGCGGTGAGCATATTTAGCAGGGGTCATGGTTTGAATGAAAACAGCCCAATAGGCCCATAGGGAGCAGCACAGCAAGGAGGAGGAGAAGGAGGAGGAGTTAGAGTAGGTGTGGCACTGTTAGAGAATGTATATCACTGAGGGTATGCTTTGAGGTCTCAGATGCTCAAGCCAGGCTCTATGTGGTACTCTTTTCCTGCTCTCTGCCAATCCAGATACAGAACTCTCCACTGTATCCACCAAAACAATAATGGACTGAACCTCTGAACTGTAAACCAACCACAATTAAATGTTTTCCTTTAAAGAGCTGCCATGGTCATAGTATCTCTTCACAGCTATAGAAACCCTAATGATAACACTCATCTGAGCCATCTTTCTTCAGGGTAATGATTTTAAAACACTACATGAATTCATTTTTGAAAAGAATAGTCAAGTCACCACTGCAGTTTAAGTATAAAATTAATATTTAAATTATATTCAAATGTTGTTTGTAAAATCACCACATACTCTGGGTTCAATAATAATCTACCTATAAACAAAATACTGTGATCCTACACTATAGACAGGCATTTCTACAGGTTCAACATGAGGCAATCTGAAATATATTATGTCAAATTATTATTGAATTTAATAATTCACCTAGAGCAATTAAAACAGATTACAGCCAATTTTCCTCATTCATGGGTTATGATCTAGGTATGCTGAATAAGCATATTAACGGGCTCCTAAAAGTCTCTGGTCATACTTTCAACCAATCAATACATAACTTTATTTGATATGTGTCTAATGTTTAAGGACACCTTATGTAATTTATATTGCTGATTCATTAACATTGGATTCACACTCATTGGCAATTTAGCTTGTACCTAAATATAGCTTGGCTAACACATACATTTTCTTTACAATATATACCACAGACTTGTGCTAGAGAAAACTAGACAGCACCACAGCCCTTTCAACATTATGTTAGGGAGTCATTTTAGATAGTAAAATCATCAACAAAAGACAAGTAGGGAACATGGTATAAAATAGAGGATATTCAAGAACCCTGATTACAATCCAAGTTCTGAAACAGGAAATGAAAGATAGTGTTGTCTTGTTCAGATTCAAATTTTGGCTGCTCTTTGCAAACACACATCGACATGTAGCCATGAAGGTGCAGTGAGGATGGATCTGGGGTTATAAAAAGTTTAAGCAAGCCGGGCAGTGGTGACGCACGCCTTTAGTCCCAGCACTTGGGAGGCAGAGGCAGGCGGATTTCTGAGTTCAAGGCCAGCCTGGTCTACAGAGTGAGTTCCAGGACAGCCAGGGCTACACAGAGAAACCCTGTCTCAAAAAAAACAAAAACAAACAAACAAACAAAAAAGTTTAAGCAAATAGGTGAGTTCACAAATACAGAACATAAAATTACAATATAAATGATATTATACTAAACAAATTCCATACAAGACCACCATGTTGGAAGAAGCTCAACCTAGACAAGTAGATGAGAGGAAAGATGTGAAGCAGAGTGACAGCAGGCATGGAAACGCACATGAGGGGTAGGGCCTGGGGGTGAAAGGGGCCAAAAATACCGTGGGCTTGTGCTCCAACTGTAACCATCTGAGGGAGGCCCAGGGACAATATCCTAAGCAGAACCTCCCAAACGATCCACACAATTGTGAGAAGCAGCAAGGTATTGCTCACTTAACATACTAACTCTTAGAAGAAATTATTACATGACAACTGAAACTACTTGTTAATAAATGTGCTGAACAGATAGGATAGGTAGGATGCTGTAACCCCACACTCAGAAAGCTGAGGCAGGCCCAGTATGGAGGAGGAAGAGGAGGAGAAAGAAGAAGAGAAGGAGGAGGAGGAGGAGGAAGAGAAGGAGGAGGAGGAGGAGGGAAGATGGAATGGACAGTGAAGCAAGAGGAGGGAGAAAATGGAGTGTAAAAGGGAAGGGGGAGGGGGAGGGAAAGAAGGAGGGAGGGAGGGAGTGTATGAGGGATGGAGCAAAGCAGGAAGGAGAGGGAGAAGGTGAGAGAATGGAGTGAGGAAGAAGACAACAGAGGGAGAGAAACGGAGCACTGACCTCAAGTCCATTCAACACCATCCATGCTTACCTTGGTGTTGGCCATGTCTACGATATACTGGTCTCCCTTTATACACTCCATGACTTCAAAACCATCCCTGTCAATCACCTTGGCCTGTGAGCTTCCAGAAACAACAAGAATCATGTCTCCTGTGTTACTGTACTGTAACGACTTGATCTGATGGCTGTACAAAAGAAAAAACAACATTCCAATGAAACAGAGTTTTTTTTTAATGAATGCTTTTGCTATATTTAGCAAAATCAGGAAAAAATGTTATATGACTATAAAATTAATAATTCCAAAAAGCACAAAATCATCCTCCCATGCCCCACAGTAATTTACCAAAACCTCCTAAAACTTACACTTTGAATCCAACCAACTCTTAAACATCCTGGCTTTTTTCCAATTAACTCATCAGCATAATTTTTTAAATCTGGATCCTATTTGTTAACCACAACATTTAAAAAAAAAAAGAAAAAAAGAAATGAGAGTATCTTCTCTGCACAACAAGATTCACTGTACGTCTTCTACTTCAGCAGATACAGGATGGATTTTAAGTTTTTCATTGAGGCCAGTGATGAGAGGCTCTGCCAGGCTCGCCCACAGAATGCCTGGAGATAGCCTATCACCATCTCAGCTATGGTCACAAGGATATATGAAATCTCATGTCTAGAATCCATGTACATATGCAAATAAACTGGGATTCTCAATTGTTTTACCACAGGCTTCTCAGATATGAGACAGTCAACCTTTACTTACGTGCATACTGAAGAAATATGTATAATTTAAAGTGTGTGTGTGTGTGGGGGGGGTTACAGCTAATTTAATTATACATGATTTCTGTTGTTTTCTCTTTGTTTTGAGAGCCTGATTCTTCAGCTCCCCAAGTGCAGAGAGTATAGTTTTGTGCCATCAAATCCAATTTAAAAATTTATTTTTTTACATGTATGCATATGTGTTTGTGTAAATGTACTGTGTGTGCACCTGTGTGCCTCTGTGCAGGTCAGAAGATGGTATCTGAGTCCTTTGGAGCTAGAGTTACAGGCACCTGTGAGTTGACCAATGCTGCCTTCTGGAAGAACAGTAAGAGCTCTAAGCTGCTGAACCACCTCTCTAGCCCCAACATTCAGCTTAACAGTTCATGATTTTAACAAGAAATAATGAATTATAAGTTGTCATAGAATATGAAAAATTAGGATTGTAAATTCTTATTTAAAAAATCTAACCTCAGAGATAAAGCTATCAAAATTAATAGGTTAAGTCTCCCAGCATCGTTTATATAAACCATATGTGTCTCCCTCTGCAAATTTATATCTTAGGAGATAAGGTCTTTAGCAGGCAATTGGATATAAATGAGGTGAGCTTTACTCATTAAAGAGGAGAGTTCTCCAGGTAAGATTAAGAAATGGGGGTGGGAGAGCTAAGCATGTTCAAGACTTGGTTCAATTCCCAACACCATACAAGTTTACGGTGGGATAGAAGCTGTATCCCCATGAGCAGTAAAAAAGTCCAAAGAAAAAATATTACTGTGCAGAGAACATGAAAGAATGCCTGAAAGTTCAGAGGCAAGCTCGCAGTCCTCACAAGCCTCAAACCCAATTGTGGTGATTCCTTGGGGAGCTGGGGCTGGAGTGTAGAGAAATCCAATTTTGTCATTCTACATGGCTCAGAAGGCTACAGTCTAGTAACATTTTCAGAGACAACTTATTTCATTAAAAACTGAGCTATCTGGACAGGTGACATGGCTTACCAGGTACAGGTGCTTGCTGCGAAGCCTGAGGAACTGAGTTAACCCTAGGACCCACACTGTTAAAACAACAGAACAAACTAGTAGCAATTTGTCTTCTGACCTCTACGCATGTCACACACAGAATGTGTGGGCCTGCACACACACACAAGTAAATGTAATAAAATATTTTAAAAAACAAAAAATGAGCAACCTTGATGTCCTGAAAAGAGGTGACAACCCCAGGAAGGCTAGACATGTGACAAATCACACAAACAAGAGCCCACAAGGTCAGCTGACTCTGCCCACCACTGAGAACAAGCAGCTCTGTCACTTCATTGTTTGCTTACTGTTGTGATTCCCGTTTTCTCTGTACCGGGTGTTAGCAGTATATTTACTTTTTGTATTTTTTGTATTTTGTATCTAGTTATTTTAACCTCTGTGCGCGTGTGCACACGTGGAGGAGGACCATATGAAAGTTGGAAAACCCCTTTCAGAAGCCAGCTCCATCCTTCCAGTACAGGCTCTAGGATTCACAGCCAGGTCATCAGGGTTGCTCAGCATTTACCACGGAGCATTCCTGTCGGCCCTTCTTTCACTTTTAAGCTTGTATGCCTTTATTTGGTTTTTTCTCTCATTCATTCATTCATGGTTTCTCTAAGCAGCCCTGGCTGTTCTGGAACTCGCTTTGTAGACCAGGCTGGCTTCAAGCTCATAGAAATCCACCTGCCTCTGCTACCCAAGTGCTGGGATTAAAGGCATGAGCCACCACAGAGATAGAGAGTTCTTTTTCTTTTCCTCGGTTTCTTTCTGTTCTTTCCTTTTCTCTTGTTTCTTCCTTTCCTCGCCCTGCCCACTGAGGGCCTACCACTAATGGAGAAATTATTATCAGAACCATAGCCACCTCTCTTCATGCAGTGATCCACAGAGAAGCCGTGCCCTTTCAGAGAAGATCTGGATCTCAATGTTATATGTCAGCCCCAAAGACAGAGGACACGGCTTGTATGTGCTTGCATATTCTTTACAGTTCTCTTTTTGCCAATCAGTCTCCGAACTTCTATCATAGTCAGCAATCTTATTAAAGGGTTTCTGGTCAAATTACATCACATTTCTACACCCTAATAAGACTCTGACAGATCAAATTTTAGGCAATCAATCAGGAACAGAGAAAATTAGAGTCTATTTAGACCAACTGGGGTTTTTATATATAAACAAAACACATCAGATCTTTGATAATTAAACAGTTGAGACTGCTCAACAAAGGTCTTTAGTAAGACTGTGGGAACTTGCTAGCCTGTAAGACAAATCTCCAGTACTAGCACTCCCATTGGGAAGTGCTAATTTTCTTCAATCAAGCCTAAGAGATCTGGTCCTATGTATTATCACTGTTTTCTGGTGGTTAATTTTTGTTTTCAAAGGGAAGTTAAAAATCTTAAAAATAGCAAAATTTCAGGAGAGTGAGTGGAAGCAGGCAATAGTTCCGTCTCTCTGGAGCCACCAAACAGTTTACATTCAGAAGGATACCTACATTTTCAGCAACCCACATCGGTATCACTTTGCTTTTCAGCTAGAAATACCATTTTCTTGTGTTCTCTGTAGACCACTTTGCCAATGCTCAAATGAAAATGTTCTGTTCCAACCTCATCGTTCCTGTCCTACTTTGCTCTTAATTCTGCTAGCCACAGAGTTAAAAGGACGGGATTAGGAGTCATTAGACACAGTACTAAGGAGAATTAAAGGGCTTGTTCAAGGGGTAGTACATCTGCTCCTCAAATTCCTGCCTATACAACTAAGATTCCGATCAAAGAGAAGAGAGAGAAAGCCAATCTGACAGTAAACTAGAGTCATGAGGAAGTGACTGTTCTCAGGGAGTAACTCTGACACCAGAGGATGGCTTAGTAGTGTTGCACAATTCCTTCTGTGAAGTTATTCACAGGGCAAAGTGGGAAAATACGGGAGTGAGGGGAGTGGGAAGGTGAAGACTGAGGATCCTTTTAAGTATCTTTTGCTTGTCTAGCAAAACAAGCTGGGACATGCAAGACAGATAAACACAGCTGTCTGGGACTGTCACTTGGGGCTCCTGAGCCAAGGTGTCCGGCTGTAGTGAGAAGTGCACCGGAATGTGAGTCAGAAGTCTAGAGATCCAAACCCTCACTCTGCTAGCCAGCTGTATGATGCTGAGCAAGCCCTTCTGCTTCCGGTCTTCTTATGTTATAGAAAACTCACACGTAAGAACAGCTGGCAGGACTAGACAGAGATCTTCCTGGGCCATATCATGCCCAAGCTACCTGGGTAATTCTTCTGAGTCCTTCCTCCGTTGAATAAGGAGAATAATACTTAACTTACAGGATTGGGATATAGGTTGTAAAATCAATACTACACAGTGGGGCCGGAGAGATGACTCAGTGCTTAAAAGCACTCCCTGATCTTCTAGAAGACCTGGGTTCAATTCTCAGCATGTGCATGGCTCCTTACAACCATCTGTAATGCCAATTCTAGGGGATTCTATGCCCTCTTCTGGCCTCTGCAAGCATTACGTAGATGTAAGCACTCATGCAGACAAAACATCTAAATACAATAAAAATCAAACCAACAGTGTCAACTAATACACTGGGACACCTGGGAGCTCCCAGAAACTAAGCCATCAACCAAAGAGCATACCCAGTCTGGTCTGAGGGCCCCCGGCACATGTGGAGCAGAGGACTGCCTTGTCTGGCCTCAGTGGCAGAGGATGCGCCTAATCCTGAAGCGATTTCATGTCCCAGGGAAGCACCCTCTCAGAGGAGAAGGGGATGGGGGAATGGAGTGAAAAACTCTGGAAAAAGGGGGCTGGGGGTGGCAACACTTGGAATGTAAATAAAATAATAATTTCATGAATAAATACTGAAACTAAAACTTAACTTATAGACTGAGATAAGGGTTAAAAAATAAAATTATACATCGGAACTGGAGAAATGGCTCAGAGGTTAAGAGCACTTGTTTACTCTGAAGAAGGTTTGGTTGCCAGCAACTATATGTCAGGTCACAACCATCTGTAACTGCAATTTCAGGGTATCTGACACCCTCATTGGCCTCAAACACACCCTTGATTCATAGACATACTTGCAAGCAAATACCTATATACTAAAATAACATTTATTCAAAAGTAAATAGTAATAATAAGCATAAGGATACCTACTAGAGACCTTAAAACAAGTGGTTTCTAGTATTACTTCTTAATTTTCAAAGAAAAAAATCATACTTGTTACGTTTATAGTTATGGTCTGATCATCCCTCGATTCCCAGGAAGGACTGGGAATGTACTCAGATGCTCAGGTTTCTTAATCTTCAGTTGATGTAATCTGTGACTATGGACCCTGTAGATATAGCAGGCTTATGGACTCAACATATATTATGTAGTGCCAGGAACAGGCCAAGGAGAGGATGGTACAATCACAGGTTTCTACAAGATGTTGTCA